TGTGTGTGTGTGTGTGTGTGTGTGTGTGCGCGCGCGCACGCGTGCACACACACACACACACAAACTATATTTTCAGTGGAAATGTTGGGGTCGTCTTATATGCCCAGTCGTCTCATATGCCGGCAAATACGGTAAATGAAATATGGGAAATGGAGGCTCCCATATCTAAAGTCGCTAGATGCCATCGCCGATCATGCTTGTCCATTCACCACACTAGCTGTGGCTTATGGGAGCTACAGCCCAACTAGATCTGGCAGAACAGAAGTCCCACACACCTGAACTAAGCCATCTTCCACTATAGTGACACAAAGTGTCTGTGCAAAAACTGCAACCTCCCCCTTCTTTGTATGTCATCTTATTGCTTCATGTGAAGGACTGGGGTGAGGGTGGAGAGTTCTGTGCCATTACCTCTACGTGATTTCCCTTCCCTGTGGATTTGAATCTATCCTCCGCTGGCTGTTGCAACCAGCCACACATTATGTTGAGGTCCAGACTGCATAGACCGCAATGAATCGTTTCATATATCATATGCAGGAATCCCAATGTTAAGAAACAAAAGGAACAAAAGACCCATTTAGAAAGGTGATTAAGAGGAGGAACAACAATTAGCCGGGGCCCTTAACTGCTGGTGACTTTACCAAGCTTTCTCTACACCTTCCCCCCAATAAATGGAATTCCACTCCCATCAATTCCCTTCAATGAGTTTTTCTTTCTTTTTTTTTAAATTGCAAGAGAATGAAGAGTTGTGTCATACACAGCTGCATATCAGATGCTGGTGTGCCACATGATAGAAAAGGGAGCGCCTTAAGGGCTGTTCTCACTAAAGCCAGCAAAAAGCAAAGGTAAAACGGGTGTACAAAAACAGCAAAAACAAATTCAGAAGAAAGTGGGACAGGGGAATGTATCAGTGGCATACAGAAAGGAGAAAGAGTACCACAAATTTCAAGGAGAAGGGGTGAAGCGAAGAGGACAGTGTAGGCAGACAGGCAGAAACAGAAGGAAAAGAATGGAAAGCAACAGAGCGGAAGAGAAGACAGGGAAAGAAAAGGGAAGAAGATGAACAGCAAAAGGGATTGAGAGAGCGCCATGGTGATGCAGAGTTGGATCAACAGAGAATGTGTTAAATGGAAAACACGGAGGTAAAACAGAAAGCAAGCAAATTGAGTTGGTAAAAATATAAAAGCAGCCCGATGATTTCAGCTGTGCTAAAATAAGATGCCTCTATTTGTACACTGCCTAATTATAAAATCTAGTTTGTAAAGCATTTTTAAAACAACATACTTTGCCGAGAAATATTGTCCGCAACACTGGTATTGTCCTCAGATATGTTGTCGCTCACATCACTGACGTATGATTCATCATCAGATGCCTAAAAAGAAAGTGAAAAGATGAAATGAAAATGATAAGAGTTGCCGCAGCTCCAGCGATAAATGTTTCCATCATTTCTTATGATAGATCTTTTATTTCTTTTCTTTTAAAAATCTGAATGCTACAAGCTAGTTGCCTTTGATACAAAATATCTCATCAATCTTTTAACATCCGTAACACCCAGAACACAGCATGCAGCGGCAACACGAGTCATAGCACAAGCCAGCACTTGGGCCAAGTGATCTTCCTCCTCCATTTGGTGAGGCCACACAAACTCCTAACTTGAAAAGTAATTTAAAAGTTACAGTTACACTAAAAAGGAATAAAAGTGTCTTACATTAAGTTAATGTAATGTAGTTATGGTCTAGACTTTGAGGAATTAATCATCACATACTTTGGTGAGATTGTTCAAGGTGAAAGGCTGTGACTAGCCCACTGTCACCCAATGAGTTTCAGTGTAGTCAAAAACCTGGATCGGTCCATTCCGAGACCCTCATAACACCATGCTAGGACTCTCCATACCAACCTGCAGCTTGAGTCCTGGTTTGTGACCAGGTTGGGAGGGAATCAGGAAAGAAACTACTGACTGATGTTGTAATGTTTAAAACAACTATGACAAATGGCTACTGATGGATTTTCACAAATGCCTTGAATTATTTCCTACATTTTCTACCAGAGGAGATAAATGTGTACTCCTGTATGTTGGCCTCCCAATTAAGGGGTGGATTTCAACAGAGCTTGGCAAAAAGTTGCCCCATTTGACTTTCTAGAACTTTGGTCACTCCCAGGGAAACATCTGGAGTTCAAAATCAAGTGAGTAAGTTAGAAAAAAATGAGAGGGAATGCTCATGTTTATTTTCCTCTAAAGAAATGAAGAATTTCTTGTGTGTTAATGTATATAAGTTGAAATTGTCTCAAGGTCTTTTGGTTACTGCTAAGTTTTACTTGCAATTTTATCACTTACGTGAAGCCTTTTATTTATTGGGCTGTTATGTTTGTTATATACTCTACGTAACAATGCTATGGTGTGTGCCAGGTTTCTTAAGAGAGAAGAAAAACAGGTAAAATGAAAATAAGAAATAAATAAGAAACAAATACAAGACGTTGAGGCACTGAGAGGCAGAACCACTGTCCTGAGACAACTGTCTTAATTCATAGCTTGGGTGGAATGTGAACCAACAACTGTTCAAATCTTCCTAACTGGAGTCGACATAATCTAACGTTACCTGATCTGAAAAAATACCGTATTGATGACACACAGAATCAAGCATTTCTCTGCCCCCAGACTCCTAACCTCATTTTCTGATGAGCTTGCAGACAGAAGCACCTCTTGAGCATCGAAGAATTCAGAGACAGATTCGGACATGGAGAGACGGCTCTCGTGAGAAACCTGCTGGGAGAGCGGGAGACTGACATGGATCTGTTCACCTGTCTGTAAAAGAGAAAGGAAGAAAGACACACATTTTTACACCTCCAAAGGCAGGGCCTGAGAGCTCACTCAAGATCGTGCTCAATTGAGACGGTTTAGTTTACAGACACCCTGCTTCTTTCCCACATGGCTCTCCTTTCTTCCTACTCCTCCCCGCCACCCTCTGTGGATTCAGGAAAAAAGTAAATGCCCCACCAGCCTGTGTTTCTAACCAACAGGGAGTTCAGGACAAGAAGAAGCCACGTAGCCAGATTACATTTAGGACAACATCAGGAACTGGTGCAAACAGACCACTCCTTTTTCAGCACACCATTGGAAAATGGCCAGTGGTTGGAGATGAGCGGCTGCCCGCGGACGGTTCTTCTGCGTTTACAGGGAAACCCAGCTTTCCCTGGCATTCAGCGGGTCCGCTGCGTTGGAACTCAGCCCTCAGCTGGCACAACCACCACGCGGGGGGAGTATCACTTTGCCACACAACTGCCATGAGCACAATCGATTCCACACCCTGGCATCTTTCACATTGTTTCTACACAACACACAAGGCAGACCCATCTGCAACGAGGTGCAGCTCGCATTGTGCACCCTTGCTTGTCATTCCAGCCCATCTCCCTCCCATTTCCCTCGTGTTCTTCCCCCAGTTTTACATATTACATACACTTAACACTGAATGCCCAGTGAGTTGGGGAAGAGGTTGCCTTCTTTTAAAAGGAGGTCTAAAGATTTCTTACACTTCTGTACAGACTGAGGCCCCGAAAGGACACCAGTACCACTTACTCTTGTTTTCAGCGGTCCTATTTTGACGACAGTGCCATCAGCATTCACCACCTACGTTTGCTACTGAAAGTGATATTTCTTTAATTATTTTTATGTTATACTGATTTTAAACATCAGTGCAATCCAGTGCTCCCTCTTCTGGGGGTAGCAATGTCCCACCATTTCAATTTTCCTCTCCTGACGTGCAGGGTTCCTTTACAACCGTAGAAGGGCTGGGGTGCTGGATTTTGCTCTGAAGAAGCACATTTCTTCCTGCAATAAAGCTCATTCTGTCCACTGTAACTATTGAGAAAATAATGCTCCAGGAGCATGCCAAAAGTCACCCAACTATTCAAAAGGAAAAGGGGCAATTATTGAACCCCTGAAGCCCAGGGCACTCCAGCTATGGGTCCACTAGCTTTTTTTTAAAAGAGCCATTCCAATAATTTATATCCATTCATACCATGCAAAGATTCATTCCACAGCTTCCTATTCTCTATAAGGAACTTAAATTTGGTTCACGTTCAAATGATTATTCAGCAAAACACATGGGAAACCCAGCAATGAAAATGGGAGATACATGGGGGGAGGGGTGGAAGGCAGAGAAGGCGGCACACCATAACTTTCTAAACCGAAATTGTGAATGAAAAGAAAATACATTGTAAAATATTGAGGATTCAGAGAGGTTTCTGTAAGCACCATGTTCTCAGGTGTCTTACAAGCTGATGTGAAGTTTATTTCATCTGATTTGGAAACTGAGCTTTCCTGAATGAAAAGAGAAAAAACTAGATCTATCCAATTCTAAAGTTTTACCAGTTGTATTTTGGGTAATTACTGTTGATATCTGTGCAACACAGAATGAATGTTTATGTACATATGAATATTTGTGATGTGCTTGCTAAGAGCAAGATAAAGATGAAAGAAAAGATGTATCAGAAAATGGAAAGTGGAAAGTAATATTTTATCCAATTAATACTAAATACAGAGCTGCAATTGGTAAGTTATTATATCTGACTATTACACAAAACCAGATATTGATACTGATGTTGGTATTTTAAGTAGAAGAATAAGTAAACCCACGAAATCTGAATGGGAAGCCATTAAGAGAGTAGCAAGACACATATCTTAAAGGAATCATAGAATATAAGTTTCTGGGAAGCCATTAAGAGAGTAGCAAGATACATACTGTATCTTAAAGGAATCATAGAATATAAGTTTAAAATACCAGTTAACCAAAATGCTAAATTGATATGTTATTCTGATGCGCACTGGGCAGGAGATTGCTCTGATCGTAAATCAATTACGGGATATTTATTTACATACGGTGATGCAGCAATTTTTTCAGGTAAGTTCTAAACAAGATGTTATAGCTTTATCTTTAAAACAGTCAGAATTTATTGCTGCAGCAGACACTTGCAGAGAATTGTTACGGTTCAAGGTAGTGATGAAAGAAAGATGTTGGAATTCAAGAAGAATCACACATTGAGCTGAGAGACGACCACCAGAGGGGCATAAAACTGGCACAAAGTGAAAAGAGTAATATGAGGACTAAGCATATTGAGGTCAGAAATCATTTACTGTGGGAGTTAACAGAAAAATGTGTTATTAAAAAGGTTTACAGTGCCCCACTTAACAACTACCCCCCTTGACGACGAATGCGCTTCACAATGAAGGAGACCCAGCCACCCCTGGAAAAGGACCCTCCACCCCGTCCCCATTCCGGAACTGCACAGGGATTTGTTTGGACATGGAAGAAGGTGCGCCTCGATGGCTGCAGGCTGGCAGGAAAGGGGGAGTGGAGGACACCTGCACGCTGGCACACATTGGAGGGTCAGCTGCTTCTCCCCCCCTTCAAAAAGCAGGGGAGAAAAGGTGATCCCCAGGAGGCTGAGGAGGCTTGGGACCAGTAAGGTGCTGCTTTTAAAAAAAGTTTTGGGTGGCTTTTGTTTTGTTGGCGGGTGGGATTGAGGGTCAGTGTTGTTTTGTTTTTTGGTGGGGTTTATTTTTTGCAGTCTCAGTATGGGACTTGCTCTGTTTATGTATTTTTATTTTGGTATTTTTTTACTATAGCCCCCTCGCTTAGGAACAACAAGAATTAAAGTTAATAAAGTGTGGCCCTAATTAATCCAACACCTGTGTCTTGCCTCTTTATTCTGGGGTGGGGGTGGGGACAAAGGGCACAATACATGTGTTTGATTCACAGCTATCCTCCAACAACCTACTGCATAAGAAGCACCCCCACGCACAGACTTCCCCCCACACCCCCATTCACAGATGCCAGCGGCAGCAGCCCCTCCCCCCCGGTCCTTGGAAGAATGGTCTTCAACAAAACCTGTCCCTGGCATTAAAAAGGTTGGGGACCGCCGATCTAGAGACAAGGATGAGCACAGAGGTGGCCATACGTATTTGTGACTGAGATAAAACTATTCATTATGGTCAAGGATGAGCACAGAGCTGGCCATACGTAGTTGTGACTGAGATAAAACTATTCATTATGGTGAAATGTAAAAAGGATTCAAAACTATTCCAAAAGGAACTCCAAACAGACCAACAGGCATTAATATGGCAAATTCAGTTTCTACATATAAAATGATACACATTGAGGTAAACAATCCTCTCTTCGCTCCTAAACTGATAGTGTTTGAGCTGCCAGCGATTAACCAGGAAAGAAAGCATGGCGATATAGCTCAATGGAAATGTTGACCCAGTGCACAGCATCAGGAAAGGAACAATCCGTGGTAGGGGTAAGTAAGGAAGAGACCATAATTAAAATAAGTTAATATCTTTAATAATAGAACGGATTGTACTGATTGCTACCTCTGCAAAGACTATTGTAGACCTGAAAAAGGTGCAAAAGAGGGCAAGCCGAGTTACTAGAGCGCTGGAACAAGTGCCATATGATGAAAGGTTATAACATTTGAGGATTCTTGGTTTAGAAAAAATGAAACATTGGTGGCATTTATTATGCATGCTATGGAGAAAGTAGATCCTCTCCCCACCTTCTCTTAACAGAGAAGAATCTAGATCCCCCAATACAAAAAAAGGATGAGAGATTCAAGACAGACCACAAGAAATCCTTCATCCAGTGTATAATTAAGTTATGGAAATGGTGCTATGTAGCACATAACAAGTGCCAGTACGGTACCTTCAATAGTGCTAAGAGAGGAGTAAACAAATTCATGAAGAATGGGCCGATCAGTGAATATTGCTTGTGCAAAGTCTATATGCTATCTATGGATCTGATTCAGATTTTGACAAAATACCAGTTGCTGAAAAAAACAACTGCCCTCATTTTCAACTTACAGGCTTCCCAGGGCATCTGAATGTCCAGTGTGGGACACAGGATGAATTACGTTGGGCTCTTCTTCCTGTTTCTTAGGTGGTTACTCAAACAGGGCCAATTGTTACCCTTCAAATGTGGGCAGAAGGTCTTCAATTTTAAAATAGGGATTTCCAAATGAAATCTTACAGGGAACATTTCTAGTATTTTCATAAAAGCAATGAGCAAAATAAACTTGCCAGCTTTTCTCAAACCGAATTATTTAGCCATTCGTTGTAATTAGCAGAACTTGACTACAATAAGTCTATTAGAACGATGTCAATGTCTTACCTCATCAGGACTAGGGATAATATTTACACTGACAACCTGATCACAAATAACAGACTCTGTATGTATTCTGTTCAAGCGACTCCTTAGTTCAGCATTCTGGTTGAGAGCCTTAAAATAACAAAAATTAAATATTTAATTTCAAATGTGCAAAACAACACAAAACAAAGACAAACTACTGTTGCACCCTATACTCTGGCCAGAATCACAATGCTATTCTACTCAATGCTGTGAATGCTGCTTTTCAGAAATGATTTCTCTTGCCTGCATTTTCTCTCTTAATTGGGTCCTCTTCTTTGGGTGTGTTTCCACACAAACATGTATCAGTTACACGGCTTTCTCCAAAAGAATGCTGGGACTGATGGTTTAGTAAAGCTGGCTTCAGTTACCTATTATCCATAATCTTCTTCATTTTCAACAAAATTAAGATCCAAGAAAATAGATGGGAAAATTTCTCTTAATATACGAATTGGAAACCTGCAGCAGTCTATGGGTTGCACATACCCATTCCTGAACACAGAAGAGCTGCATCTACTCCCAAACCCCCATACCTATTATTATTGTTGTTGTTGTTTACAAATCTTTTAACTGGAAAAAACCCTTCCACCCTCTGGTGTCTATATTTTTTTTAATTAAGTATTGTGGAAGTTGAATGCGGGGACCCAAGCGAGGGAGAGGCACATGGCAAAGCTGGTCTCCATGCCCCATTGTGGGTCCAAGAGGACTTTCTAGGACAATTTCCCCCCCAAAAAAGTTGGGGATGCTATGGTGTTCTGGGGGGGATATTGCCCCCCCAATTTTAATGACGAGCTGTAATCTGATGACAAAAATGTTGAATGAGAGGAAGGACTTAGTTCTTTCATCAAGATACATTTTTATTATAAGAAAATCACTCCATCTAGGGAAAAATATTTTGGCTTCCTATATCTTTTCATCTGTGAGACTTTTTTTAAAGCAAGTAATTCTAAAAGTAAGTAATTTACAACATATATGCATATGGGTGTACATTTTGTTAGAGCAGTCCAGAGGACTCTGTAATCCTTTTCTCCATGGAACAGAATTTTATATATATATCAATTTAGATTCAAAACATTTTATGGATATTAAGTTTATTATATTTACCCAATAAGACAATTTAACCTTCTTCAAAACCTAGTGCAACTTATGTTTTATAAATCATGGCGGGTAATCTTGATGGAGTTGCACAACAAGGCCACTGCTCCCAGACCCCCCCATTGCAAATTGTAACAGGCCAGGAAATGTCCAAAACCAATGCGGGTTGGGAGAGGGACCAACAGGAAGCACCCAGATGTGGACTCTTTTTTTTTCTTGTGGGTGTAGGGAATGAGTCTTAGGGGGCCACCTCCCAAGTTCCCAAGCCAACAAACCAAACCAAACCAAAAGGAGAGTAAGAGCAATAAGGAAGCAAGTGTGGGCCTGAAGAGACTTTGACAAGCAACTTCGGAAGTGTAAGTAAGTTGAGACTGGGCAAGAAAGACACAACTATGAGTGAGAAGTTTTTTTAAAAAAGTTTTTTGGTCTACTACCTGGAAGTTTCTTCAGTGACTTTTCTCTAATCTCAGCATGTACAGAAAGAAGCCCTTCAAAAGAAATGATGGCTGAAATCCTCAAGGATTTCTTGGAATGCCACATTGCAAACACAACTGTATAGCTTCCACCATGACGAACAGCTATAGAAAACAGTAAACTCATTTGCTATAGCACAATAATTTTAAAGAAAAACTTATTGGGCCACTGCAAGACTCTTGTTTTGTTTGGTTAAGCTTACAAGAACACAATGTTGCACCCATTAATTTTCATTACTATGAAATATAGTAGTAATACTCTTCTTTGAAGGATGTGGGTAGGTCGTACTGCATTAAACTGGATTCAGATGTTAGTTTATAAATTATACGATGAGCTCCTCCTTCTGTTTCCCACTCCCACCTGAGAAAGATGAACTTTTGCGAAGGGAGTATACAAAGAGACCTGATACTAAAGCGTTGCATCCGCTGACACAAGAAGAGAACATGCATCACAAAGCCAGACAGGGATAAAAGGAAAACTACAGGACAGTGAATAAGCAGCAGGGTATCATTATCACGATTAATGATTAAATCATTTATCTGACAATGGAATCTCAGATATAGTCTATTCAATATTAGAGGATTTTCACTAGAAAAGAAAAATCCTTTTTGCTCAATGAAGTTTTGTAGCTAAAACAAATTGATCGGAAGCACAGGTATCCCAAACTGAATCTAGTTGTGTCTCATTGTCTTGATTTGACAATACTCATTTTTTATACAGTTACATCTTGCCATATATCAATAAAGAGTCTTAGGGTACATTAAAGACAAATAAATCAGATGCACCAGGCAGGCAGGCAGGAAGGATGGAAGGAAATAAGACAAACAAACATAGATACATATATAAATATGTTGACCCTGTTGGATAAAACTAGCATCTGTCCATATGTGATTCAATGGACTTGTGTCTGCCTCATTTCTGTACATTGGATACAACACACACACACACACACACACACACACACACACACACACACGAGAGAGAGAGAGAGAGAGAGAGAGAGAGAGAGAGAGAGAGAGAGAGAGGTTCTATTTCCAGCTGGTTTTACTTGAGCGCCCTGGAAGGATAAACAGTCGTAAGAACAAAGAAAGTCAGGCTGTACGCAGGAAGTTGTCAAACACATTACAATCCAGTTGAAGAAAGCGAGGCACAGCCAAGACACATACTACTAGGTTCTGCTGCTCACAAACCAGTGCATCTAGTTTTGCTGATATGTGAGCCAGCAGATAAGAGCAGGCAGACTACTGAAGAAAAGGAACAGCAGGTTATCATTTGATACAGCGGTGCCTCGCATAACGAGCGCACCGTTTAATGACGAATCCGCATAGCGATGCGGATTTTGCGATCGAAAAAGCGATCGCATTCCGATGTTTAGATAGGGTAAACATCGCATTGCGATGATCGGTAAGCATTTCGCTTACCAATCTTCACATTGCGATGTTTTGGAACAGCTGATCGGCGGTTCCAAAATGGCCGCCGGAAGAAGAAAATGGCCGCCCGCAGCGTTTTCACGCTGATTCCTCGCTTACCGAGGTGGCGAAAATGGTGGCCGTATTGAGGATTTCCGCTTAGCGGTGAGTTTTGTCCCCATAGGAACGCATTAAACTCTAGCAACGTTTCCGGATAGCGACGATTTATCTGGAACGGATTATCGTCGCTATGCGGGGCACCACTGTACCTGCAGCTAAAACAAACAGAAAGACAGACAGACTGAAACTGAACTTTGGGCAGTGGGGAAACAAGGCATATTTCAATACTCTTTTACTGAATTACGGTAACATTTTTCAGCAGAAGCAGGGTCTGGACACACAGTTGATTCATACTGTATTTTTATTTATATGTTTTATTACATACTTAAACCAGAGCACAGAGTGCTGTCCTCTAAAGATGCCAGCCACAGAGACTGGCGAAACATTAGGAAGAACAACCTTCAGAACACGGTCAAAGAGCCAGAAAAAAATCCACAACAACCACATACTTTTAAAACCCTTCGAACGGCTAGAATTCTACTATGTCTGCCCTGGCAACTAGTTAACAAGCTGACACTTGTACTTCTCTTTACACATCAGTCACACTCCTTGGCACACAATAAAACATACAAGTGTTGACTTTTTAATGGGTGGCATTTCACCACTGGTAGTGAAATCACACCAGCACAGAGCAGGTGAGTAACAGGATTACTACCAATATATTTGAAACTATGCAATAGATAGAAGCAGAAGTAATCAGTATAATAACATTCTATTTTATAATTTATTCCTAGAGAGTTGTGTGGTGTTCTTTATGTAAGAGACAGACAGTGTTTATATATAAACAAGGCAGAAATATGGTAAGTATCCAGCAAAGGGCTCACCTGAGAAAGTGATTGTCTGAGACGTGTTATTTGCGTACTGTGTCCCGTGAAATCATGTTCTGAAACCATCTGCTTAAGCTTTTCCTTCTCTATCGCAATGCTGTTGAAGGCAGACTTCAGAAGTGAATGCACTGGTAAGGAAAACACAAAGGCCTTTGGTACACACAGCTCCATTTTACATGCAACTTATAGAATTTCAGGAGACAGTTTCCAGGTGATAATTCAAACACTGCAGAAATATATATAATTTACAGCTTTTGTGAAAAATGCCTATCACTTCTGACTTTCCACATGTTCTCTTTGGGTTTGCCCAAACAGGGGAATCAGCTACATGAAAAATGACCGGTGCTCTTGCCTGGATAAGCGTAACTGTATTTGTTTATTCATTTATATACCAGGGGCCCCAAGGCAGATCATTACAGCTTAAACTACACAACAATCAGCTATTTTAAAATAGTGTATATATATATTATTTTTAAAAAACTGTTAAGCATAGATCAAGATGAAAAACAAAATCAAAAACAAATGTAAAACCTTTTTAAAAAGCATTTTAAAATGTCTACATTTAATAAATGTAACATTCCTGCTTAAAGGCCTGCCTGAAAAGGAAATTCTTTTCCTGACAGCGGAAAGAGAAGAAGGAAGAGGCCAATCCGGCTTCTCAGGGCAGTGCAGTCATATTGCAGCCCACCGAGAAGGCCTTCCTAGGGCCTTGCAATGAACACCCTGCTTCCCACACCTTTGCTGCTATGTCTGAAGAGAGGGAGTACCAGACAGAAATGTGACGACTTTCCAAATCAGAACAAAATGAAAGAGAAACCCACGGCAATTTTCTGTTCAACCCACAAATTTCTCATAAATGCACTAAGCAAACAAAAAAACACTCGTACTGACAAAGCCTATTGTACGGAAAGTTATTTCCAGTGATAGGCGCCGGTACATACACAATTACCTTTCTGTGCCATGAGGCAAAATTCTTCCTGAAGTTTTAGGTAGTCTGTGGAGCTTTCTAAGGGATCAGATACGTGACTTGGAGGAGTCTGGAATTCGATGTCTGCACAAAGGTTAGGATTGGAAGAATGAAGGCGAACAGGAGACATTGTAGAACTGAAAGGAACCTAATGTGGAAAGCAACACAACTATCACCATGCTATTTTTTCTTCTGTGAAACACCACGCGCAGCATTACGGGCTATTTCTCTCAGTCCTGTAATGCTGGGTTTTACAATTACCAGTATTTTTACTGAGAGATGATTTTTAAAATATCTTCCTCGCAGATGTGCTTCCAAACAGACAGGAGCTACTGCTAATAAACCCCTCTTTCCACTTTGAAGCTGCAAGCAGAATTGAAATTGACTTCTGTAGGTTCTCTGTGCGCACACATCATTACCAGTCATGTTAGTGGCACTCTTCCATCTTTTTAAAGGGAATGGTTTTTGACATGGGCAGTATCTTATTGGGTAGCGAAACCTTCATAACTCAGCATTGGCTCACTATATTCTTTGGAGTCAATATCATTCTTAGCACGCTTTTTACATTTTAAAAATCTTTTACTCAGAGAATCAAGAGGAAGATGGCAGAGGGTCATCTTACCAGTCACTGCCGTTCTATTAAGATGGGTATTGGCGGTACAGGAATGGGTTCAAACTTTTTTTAAAAAAGCATTATGGGAGCATAATACTAGACTATACTGCTGTATTTTTAAATAAATCATTTAAAAATACCTTCATTGCCCTAATTTTAGAAAGAACATGGTCATTTAAAAAAAGGCCTTTATTTTCCTCTTTCCCCTACTTCTTGTGTTTTCCCTACAGCAATAGTGATGGGGATGGGATTTCCCACCATTATTTTAAATATACTGTATATATTTCACGGCCCTCTATATGGGGTACAGTTCTTTAACTTGCTCATTGCATCTGTGTGTACAAACACAGATGCAAAGTGCTTTAGTGTAATTTAAAAATCAATTAACAGTCGATAAAGAGGTGACGGAAAGGGTGACTGCCACAAATATATATAGAGAGAGAGAGAATGCCTTCTGAGCAATAACAAGCCCGCCTCCCTCATAGGTCACTGCCCTGGTCAAAACTGCTTCTCTTGAAATAGATGGAAGATGTTAAGGAGTTTTTCCTTTATGTCCTTCACAAGACATTGGGGGTTTTGTTTGTAAGAAAAAAAGACAGAAGCAGCACTGGGGAAACACAGGAAGATTGCTAAGCGATCATGACGCTTTGGGGGCCACCCAGAAAATATGAATGATTCTCAACCAATCCTCATCAGACGGCAGCCCAGGAACCTTCTTGTTCTGCGCAGAGCCTCAGAATCACGTTTCCTTCTCTCAGACCCATGTTGATACATTCTGAGAATTTACACCAGGATGGGCAAAGAGCAGCCATTCAAATATCATTGGCTTGCAACATCCAGCTTTCCACATCACTACTGGCAAGGCTGACAGGGGCTGATGGGAGCTGCAGTGCAACAACATTTGGAGGGGTGCACTTTGCCCTCCCCTATGTGAAGAAAAAAAATAAGGCTTCAGTCCACACTAAGCACTTCTATATGAGGTTTTCATCGCATCATCACTACTCCTCATTCACTGATTTTTTAAATTGAGGCTTCACAAGAGCATCTTTCTCAACTTGTTTTACCCTCTGTTGTTTATTTACCACTTCTCTTTTTTTAAAAATCACAAAACATCTGTTAAGAAGAAAAAGCTGTGCATAACCTTGTAATTGTTAGCAGGAGGAGCCGTCTGTCTGAAAATGCCCACAAGCCATGCTCCCTGTAATGCCAATAAGTGGGTGTTTTGAAGCACCACAACCAATCCTATATTCTGTGTTTCTGTGACAGCGGTGGAAGGGGGGGCAGGTGAATAAACAACAGACTTTTAGGGTATGATTTTTAAAAGTGCTTTACAAAATTATTCAGCAGAATGTTGAAAAGTGAAGGGTGGCATTTTAGGATAGAGATGTTGACTTAATTTGTATTCCATCCTTTCTCATTTACATGAAAAACACGTTTCTCTACAAAACTAGAAATATAAACTTTCCTAGAGAAGAACTACAAACAGATTTATGGAAGCACTCGTGCATGTAGAAATTGGTATCAAATATAGTGCCTTAGCCTGTCTATAAATTTCACCCTGTGAAGCTCATATATAGATTTTTTTGCGGTCCGTCTTTTAATTTAGAACAGTAGTTTATCTTAGCACATTTATTTCCCCAATCTAGGCTGTTTCCTGGATCCCACCTCCAAAACATACAATCTATTATGCCATCTCCACTTTTCATTCTCTTCTAATGTTATGTTTGCATATACATTAAGTGTATATGTCTTTGAGTGTATTTTATATACAATGTATAAGTGCAATTTTAAGAGGTGCACATAATACATGTCAAGACATGCTAATCTGTATTCTTAATATTCATCTATTGCGATATTGTATTGCACACAGAGAAAAGGGGAAAACGCACACAACCTCATGTGGGATCTGCAGCACAATATTCAAGCATTTCTGCTATTAAACCTGTGACCCCCATTTGACGCCTAAACATGGTTAACTGTTAAATTACTTTGTTATCCAAATAATTCATGCAATGGACATGTGAAAAATAATCACCAAATATATTACATGCTTTTAATATTTCCTGAATAACAGCAGCAGAAAAAAAGTCATATTACTTGGCATTTAAACAAAATATAGACTTATCCTGTATAACACTGGTTTAAAACACAATTTTAAAACCTGCTCAGAAACCAGGGCTTTCTTAGTATACAATTACTGCTATTAGCTAAAATATAATTTGTAAGAGGCTACATGCTTTATTACACGCATACATTTTTCTGCAAGTCTCCCATGGCATTTCCCCCTCTTTGGTTGCTTGGGTATCTACTTAAATTTTTTTTTTGCACATTTTATGTTTGTATGTTCATGTATTGAGCTACACATGCATTGCTATATTTTAACCTGCATTAACATTAGATTAAAAAGGGAACACCTTTGGTCCTTGTTTCAACAACAAACACCAGAGATTCTTCAAAAGGAAACGTTCAGCCTCATTGTCACCACTGTGTCATGAAGTTAGTGGGTGACTGGTGTCTCTGAAGTCGATCAAGCGGAAATCAACATACTGTATAAAAAAACCCGTTCCTTCTCCAACTCCAGCCACCTTACATGCACCAAACTCTAGAGGAGGAGAAAGTTGTTCTACTGGCAGACAATCACTGGATATAACCCAGAATGTTTTCCCTGAATTGCATACATCATGCTTTTTCTTTTAATAATCTCCCAGAATATATTTTTGGGGAATAAACTTCAGTCTCAGTGCTCAGGTTACTTAATTCTCTGTTCTCAAACCATGTTATGGCTTTGCCTTCTTCTTTAGATGGAAACCAACAGCAGAAATATTCAGCCAAGCTTCCTGGAAGAGACCATCGTGCTTTAATCACCAAGGAAGCCCACATGAAATGTTGGGCCTAAATCCAACATCACGCTAGTGAAGTGAAAAACCTTGCTATACTGTCCTACCGCAGCGTTCCGCAAGTTATCGTGTAGGTTGCACTAAAGCCATGATGCCCAAGGGAATCTGCTTTGGCCAACACCCTTGCAGTAACCATGTAAAGGCATCTCTGGCACGGCGATGGACTTCATGCTACTGCAATACCGCTAGAACTAGGCTCTAGAAACAGATAAACTAGAAGAAAAATCTAAACCTAGAAGCAGCCTTTTAAACAGTAACAGAATACTTCCAAAAGCCCAGCCAGCGTAAGAAGAGAAGACCTCAAAAGATGGAAAGCTAGAGTCATACAGAACAATTTGTTTTGTAATTCATTTTGTTCCATATATCTGAAGAAGTGGACGTGATCCATGAAAGCTCACATAATAATATAATAGTCTTTAACGTGCCACATGTTTCCGTCTTTTCTTATTTTATTTTGTTTTGTTTCTTTGGACTTTGCCTAACAGAGCACGCAAAGCATCTGTTCTCTTCTACCAATATATAATTGTAGTATTTTCTACTGTCATCACAAGGGTGGCTTTTGATACCAATGTACACTATTGCACCTTGGCCATAGTGATGTTCTTTCTAATATTGAGAAGAGCCTATCTTTATCACATTTTAATTACTGCTTCATATGCAGGCCATGCACTGTTTACTTTGATTCTTACTACTTTGCACACTCACGTACATGCAGATGGACTTGCACATACAAACACTGCACCAACCAGAACAGAAAGTAAGCCATAGATGTGTTGATTGGGAACGAGCAAGGTTTTATGGCAACGTCAGTTGACTTCTAACCAGGCAAGCGAGGAGCAAAGGATCTTGCTTCAGCAAGGGTATTAAGCAGTTAGTATAATTTAGTACAATAATTATGAATAAAATTATAGGTTGAAGGTTTAAAAAAAATTTAGAAAGAAATAAGTGAAAAGAATAATGTGGCAACAAAATATTTGTAATATAGCTTACGCAGGAAAACTTTCTTCGAGTTCTTTACTTTTAGCTAAACCAGGTGAAACCTGGACTGCCAGCAGGTCCAGATGTTAGACAGAACATGTTGCTAGAGTGCATACAAACATAGATGTGCTTTAAGTATATCTCTCCACTGTTCCATGATTTATTTGATGTTATTATACCCTTGTATTTCTTTTCACAGAACATATAAATATGACATTATATCAGAAGGTGATTAATAAATATATAAATCTCTGACAAATTTACATAATTATCCATCAACCTATAGATTAGTTTAACTGGTCTCTTGTTACTTCCATAAAATATCAGAGAGCAAGAAGATGACAAATATTCTCCTTATAAGGAAATGAGTTTCACCAAGAGACCAGGACTGTCAGGGATGATTTTCAAACATTGAAGACATCCCTCCTCCATCCCAAGACCATGGAAGACCTCCCCAAGAGGGAAGTGATCCCTAAGACACCTGGGGAGGGGAATCAGAAACTTCTAATGAGAGATAAAAGGCCATCATAATTTGAGTGACATCATCAGTCCTACATGGTGTAACTTTACGCAACTTGATTTTGGCCATTGTCTGAAAAGATTGGGAGAGACTGTCTAATCTTCACCACCAGAAGTGAAATCTGAAACCTACCACTCTGATCTGAGTGGTCTGAAGCCCCCATTTTGGAATGTGCTTTAAACAAGAGTGTGGCCATAATTTTTGGAACTGTTATGCTTATCTTTTATCATCCCCAAGCACTGATGAAGATGTGTGGGGTCAAAAACTAGCTTAACGTTCAAGATTTATTAGTGGCCTAATAAAGGCCTCACCTACTACTGCTTTCAGTTTCATTATGGTTCTGTAAATTAAGTCTTTTCCTGAATCATTAAACTAAGTGAACAGTTTGCTTCTCTTAGTTCTTCAAACAATCCAAAAGGTACATACTTGAATGCACTGCCTTACTTTTCTTCCCACTATAGGTCTTTTATATCTTAAAAATAAAACAAAATATAACCAAAAGGGGTAGTAATATGACTTTTTGAGGTTACAGAACAGAAATGAATCTTATGCAATAACATAGCAAAATAGAATTCCGTAATGGACTTGGTAACCAATTACATCTCTGCAATTATCTTCACTTCATGGAATCATCCCAGATACGTTTATGCAGAAATGACACTCTCTCATTTCAAACAGGTTTGCTCAAGGCAGGACCACTGCTTTCAGATTTGTACTGTGAGGTATAGATGTAAATGAATGTCAGAATTTGATTTATATTGAATACTGTACTGCTGTTTTGTTGTTTATATGCTGTTTTTATATTTGTTAGGAGCACTCTGGATTTTTCCATTTGGATGGATTATACATATTATTATGAACAAATATAAATAAAAGAATTATTTATTTATTTATTTAAATATAAATAAATAATTCTGACATTAGATGGTTTTGCAACTTTCCTTGTTCTGCCAAAGTCGTTCTGTTTTGTATGCAGGGTGCCTCCCATGATGCATATGTTACCGTACTTGTTTTATTTCCACCCCACCGTAAGAGTTCCTGAGAAGGCATGAGTAAACTAATAAGATGAGACTGAATTAAAGCTTTCCTCATAGCCTCTGGGATGTTGCTATAATGTGGAGAAACCTTTTCTTTTTACACCCCAAATTTCCTCCCACCCCCACTTCCATCGGAAACTACTCTTCCTCACTGGAAAGCCGGAGGTTGTTTAGCTGGTCATGCGTTTCCCATTCTTCCCTTTGGTCTGCAAGTCTACTTACCAGAAGAGAGGAGGAAAAGCCACAGGAAGTTATGCCTCAGGTCAGATGCTATCTGAAGTGTTCTTGGACTAACACTTCCAAAAATATCAGTGTGCGAAAAGCAGTGAAGGGGCTACTTTCCGCCAATACGATCACCATGTGGGCAGAAGTAATTACTACTAACCCTTTTGCACATAATGATGACTGTGGGGAGCACCGTGCATATAGAAACACCAAGAATTTGGCTCAGAAAGTATACGCACAAAGCCACCCTTAAAACTATGGGAGACATAATTTTAAACACACATGCACACTTATGTAAGCCCCACCCCCACTATATAATGCAGCGAAACTTAAGTACTTTAAAGTCTTATTTACTGAAGCCATGGCCTTGCCCTCCTCCACTTAAATTAGCAGGACCTGGAAGTGCTTATGTTTGGCTAAATCTTATGCAATATCCTTAAAAATACTTATCTGACTACTAGACACACATACGGGCTAGATGGTTTGTGAATGCAGAACGCTTTCCATTGCATAGGGAAGCTGCCCTTGTGATGTCCTCCCTCCCACGCTTTCCACGTCCCAAGCAGCTGAAGTGCCACGGAGGCTGGCAGGATCGCAAGGGCATGTTCCAAGCATGTTCCACCACCCCTCCTCCCTCTTTAGAGCTGTCGGTGCCTTGACTTGTTCAGTCCACTCACTGTTGTAGCCACTGCAGCCGCTAGTCTCTGCCGGCGCCGTGCCGTACCAAACTGGCCCTTCAGCGCAGTCCCTTCCTGACAGTAAACAGGGAAACGGCAGGGAAGCAGAAAAGAAAGGAGGAAAGGAAGATGGGATTCAGGAAGATGAAAGACAGTCAGAAGAAGGAAGGGGGGGGGGAGTCTTTAAACCTGTTATTTCTACAGAGAGCCAGTTTCCCTTGCTCTGTGTGAGCCCAAATGTGGATTGCCTGAATCTGAACTACAAGTAGGGAAGAGCAAAGAAGCGAGGGATGAGCACTGAGTGGAAATGTCCCTTCCCTCAACTGACAGAGAAATAAAGCGTTTCCGTTTGTGTTAAACACAGCTCAACAGAGCCTGGTTACTTGGCATATAGAAAGAGTAAAATAATCAGGAATTATACTGTATGCTCTATTTTCTTATTTAGGTGTGTCCAACGTACAGGAAAAGGTATTTGCCACACAGTTTTCTCTGTGGCATTTGGATAACAACTGTATGTCAAAAACTTTACATGCTTTTCTACATGAAATTAAAAAAAAACACAAAAGGTTATAGGATGAAAATACGGAACAGATTTTGGAAATAACTGATTTCCTATACGCACTTTAGCTAAAAGAGTTCTGATCTCTGTTATCTAATGGATTTATGACGGATCACACTAACTACAGATATATACAGGTATGATTTCAAAGCACTTAACCATTCGTGTGTGTGCGTAAAAGTTTATGCTATCTCAAGTAGCCCCAGTTCTGGATCTTAATGGCATATGCTTAAACCAGACTGACTGCTCTCTCCAGTCAATCTTCTGCCTTTACCTGTTCCTGAATAATTGGCTTTTCCATTCATTTGCTTTCAATATATTCTACATTACCTCGCAGGCACTACTGACTACTGCAGACAACACACAGAGGGCTCTCCCACGTAGGACATTTGTACTGCCTTCATCTGTCCCCCCCCCTGTTTTGTTAGAATTAATCTGGACTTAACGGGATGTACCAGGGCCTGCATCCAAGCGAATGAGGAGGAGTAGAGAACCTGTGCAGCTGTGGAGGAGGTCCCCTCTTGTTTTCCCTTTCCTCTCCTCCCTCAAAGCAAGCGACCAATAATAGAAAGTATCAGGCTTTCTATCACCTGGGGTGCCACATAGCATGCCCAGAAGCACAGCAAGGAAAGACAGAAGGGAAACAGAAGAGTGTAACAGCAGCAAAACAGCCCCAAACAGCTGGCCAAATGCAACTAGCAGACAATACCCCCTGCTTTACCTATGCACAGAAAGGAGCATGGGAAGATCAAGCTACCCATTTTGTTATGTTAGACTGAAGCAGCACAAGGCAAACCCGCCACCCTGCTTTTTGATGCAAGTGCTGGAGTTGCTAAAAGAAGAAAAGTGGGGTGGAGGAAAGCAAGTTTTTGGGCTCAGAAACAGGACAAAGAGGCGCAAAATAACCCAAGAGATAGGTGGGAGCAAAAAGGTATAGGAATTCATTCAGAAACCCGTTGTGGTTTCTGCATATAGCAAGGTTAGGGGAAACATCATCTGGATGATGGGAGAAATCCTGGTAAGCTCTCTGTTTCACGGCGAGCTCCGAAGGGTCCAGATGCCCTATCTGGATGAGCCATTAGCTATCACTGCTTGGATGCTCTGTCCTCCAAAAGAAATAGCTGGCAACTATCCTTCAACATGCCGTGTGAAATCTGAAAGATCACTTTAGAACAATGGTTCCCAACCTTGGGCCTCTTGGACTAAAACTCCCAGAAGCCTTCACCATTAGATGTGTAGGCCAGGACTTCTGGGAGTTGTAGTCCAAGAACACCTGGGGACCCAGGTTTGGGAACCACTGGCCTCTAGAGCATTCAGTCAGCAGGGTTACAAGGGGACAAGCTACTGACTCTTTACAATCGGACTGATTTTTCTTGGAGTTATCCTCCCAACTTTAGATTCCCACCTCCCCTTTTCAGGCTTCATCTGGCAATCCTTTTTTTTTAACTCCAGGGATGGGCAGCAAGTTTTTGGCTTGCATAAACCTTCGCCTCACCCTTCCTGCCCCAATTTTCTACCTTACCTCTGAAATGAAAAAGGAGTAAAGATAAAGATTCTAGGCAATTCTGGGTGCAGGAAAAACAAGTAATATTCTGTTCAGTTAGATTTATCGGGAGAAAAAAAGGAAAAGCATCCAAAAGCTGGAGCCTCACTCCCTTTGCATATTGGGCTGAGAAATGAAATTCTCCGATATAGCCAAGAGCATCTCTCTCATTTCTTACAAGAGAAGCAACCTTTCTGAACCGTGCATAGGGCTGAAAGCACAGGTAGCATAAACAGAAGCATCATGTCAATGTCTTAAACAGCATTTGCTTTTATCCCTTTCTTTAAAAACATATTTTCCTTAATAAGCAAGCCTGCTAAATTCATTTATCACTAAAACAAAAACACTTTTGTGAGTCAGAACGGGCCTGGGAAGCCATCACAGGACTTTGGGCAATAAACGTTTGTTTGCAGACTTTCCTGGCTGATCCCCATTTCTCTCACAACATCAACATACTCCTCCTCAGAAATACAAAAAGAGAGAGAGAGAGAGAGAGAGAGAGAGAGAACAGTTCATATGTCTAATACTGTAATTATTATCATGTGCTGTCAAGTCAGTTCTGAACTATTGGTGATCCTTTCCAGAGTTTCCTCAGTAGAGAATACTCAGAAGTGGCTTACCATTCCCTTCTTTTGGGGGGCGGGGGTGCCCTGGGACTGTGTCACTTGCTTAAGGTCACCCAGGCTGGCTCTACGCCCAGAAGGCACAGTGAGGAGTCAAACTCCCAACCTCTGAAAACACCCAAATGACTGAGCTATCCAGCCAACAATCTAAATGAATAAGGACTGTGTATTCTCAGGAAACACTACATTAACAGTCCAACTATAAAACACACACACAAAATAATATTTTAAGCACCCCGTTTGCTATTTTTCTTAATGCATTCTGTTGCTGTACTGGAAAACTGAGCTGAATAAATGCACTGTCAACTATCCATGCAAAGCCTTATGCCATAATTTTCAAGGCGTACAGCAGCAACATCCCACTAGAACAGTGGTTCTTAACCTTTTTGAAAGAAACGCCCCCTTGAGGAAGTTATTATCACCCCCATATCGCCCCTCTTCTGTTTCTTCGCCCACACGTCACCCCTTTTTGTTCCATCCCCCCCCCCGAAAAATGAAATCACCCCCTGAAGGCAATATTGCCCAGGTTAAGAACCACTGCGCTAGAACACAACTACAATACTGTTGTTATTTCCTATACCGCATACTTATAATTAGAGGGAGGATTCTTAAGACATACTGTATCATATTTTTTCTGCTGCCTGTGTTCGAACCTATAAATGGGTTTGGGCATGTTTATGAGTAATCAGGTGAGAAAGGCCATTACTCATAAATATGTTTAAACTTACTTGTGGGTTCAAGTAGAAGTTGCAGAGAAAGTGTGAAACATAAAAATCTTCCTCCTACAACTTATAATTCTCCTTCTTTTTGGATTGCTCACCTACCAACCACTACTCTTGTCCTGTCAACAGTGAGGGCCGGAAAGGTTGCCTGTTGCAGTTTACTCGGCTGAGTGTATGCCCACACCAACCATAAGCCCCTCACTCCATCTCCTACAAGCGCTAAAGCAGCACCTGCCATTTAGTCTGGAGGTGGGTGGGAAAGGAATCGGTAGGAATTTGCATCCTCCTCTCCACCTTTGCCATACAGAATGTGAGAGTACTCACTCTCTCCTGAGAAGAAGGAAAGAAAACACTGTTTCCAGTACACGAGCCACACACAAATGACTTCCCTTTCTCTCCTTGTTTCTTTCCTAAATGGAGGGAGATACAGCAAAAGGCCATGGCAGAAAGAAAAGCAGAAAGATGTTCTTCGTGTTTGCCAGGCTCCAAAGCCACAGCTCAGTTAGAGCCTAACATTCTTCTTGCCTCTCTTACTCTCATGGAGAAAGGACTGCTTTTCTCCCCTTGTACAGCTTCAAGGAGAGGAGTCGGCAATATTACTGTCCCCTTTCCAGAAGCAGGACAACTGGATGCAATTGGAGGGTCTGTGACAAGCAAAACCAATTCTTTCCCTTGCAATTTCCTATCCCTGGTCTCATCATTTTAGCTTCTATCATCCTTCTATCATCTCACTCCCAACTCATTCTGCCATAGAGGCAGACACAACTGACATCCTGGGCTGTATCTCAGAAAGCAAAGAGAGCACACATAGATACCACTTTGTGTTCCTCATCAATTGTGAAATCTGGATTTTTTTTTTAATCTAAGTTGAACTAACAGATTTTTTTCTCAGTTCTGGCTAGCTTCTTCATTTTACCAGACGCATTGTTTTACTTCACTTCTTGTAATAATTGGTGGGGGAAATCCTGTGTTAAAGCATCTGTAACCAATACATAACTTTGATTTAGGGTATTTACATAGAAATGGCTCTGTATACAGGCAAGCCATGCAATGCATTCTTGTTATGCATAATGGAAGTGATTTCTTGCGGCTTTCCATATTGTATTCACATACTATAACAGATGATACACAGATCATGCATGGCTTGGAACACATAGTGTACACACAGCTTTCCTAGATAGAAGAGAAATTGAGGACACCTATGTTATAAATAACATAATGTTGGACAATTACGTTGGACAATGCCTGCACAATTATGCATTTCAGCAAGAATGTTTTGGGCTTACATTTCCTAAACTTTCCCTGCTATACTGTGTGGCAAACCATTTGAAACTCAGATGACTTTTCAAAGCAGGCTCTATTATGGCATTGTGATCTTCAGTGACAGGGAGAAAGCCAAAGACCAGAATGAGGGAACAGAATTCAGGAACTTCCATTCTACGGCTCACATAGAGCAACTTGATATAATCTCAACATAGCCCCCCCCCTTCTCTACATGAAAAATACTTTCATGTTAATACCTACAAGAACAACATTACATTTTGAGAGCATCAGGTTTTATTCTTCTGATTTTTAAAGGTTTTCAAGAAAGAGACAGCTCCAAAATCAGCTGGATTTTAGTGTTGCAGGGTGGTTGCTGTTGTTGAATTAAGTTATATAAAATTTTTGGTGAAAAGGGAATTAACATGAACTCAGTACCTGAAGCTGTATTTTAGTATCCTTGCTGACACTTTTTGTTCTCCACCTCCTTGTAACGCGCTTGTCTTTCTTATCTACACAGTTGGCCTACATCACAAGATAGTTAAAAGCAACAACATGCTATATTAAAGCTCACAGAAATGACACAGACAATATTGAAAAGATTAATTGCAAGAATATTTCTGTTAACTTTCAGCAAATACAAATACATTAAGATTGTTAATTTAAGCTCCCCAAACAAAGCAAACAAGATGAACATTAAAGACAATCTTAAGAGCAAACTTAGAACTCAGTCCTGAAGCCATTTTACTCTATAGTTTTCCCTCAGTGAAAGAAGAGTTTTGTCCTTCCTTGTGCATGACAAAACAAAAGGGGGTGGGGAGAAACCCTTAAATATTAAGTTCATAAAATAAAGCACACAAAATTAAGCCAGCATCCTCAATTTTTTGTTGATTGTTTAATTTATAGTTCGCATGTAACCTGAATCTGAGAATGGGGAACATCCAGAAATCACAATCTGAAAGAACAACCCAGCTGATACACATCGGCACAACAGCTCCTGCAAGAAGTGGGAAGGTCTCAACAAACCACAGATGTTCAGTCCATGCTTTATTCCTTATAACATCAAACCTGGCATTTTGGTTTGTCTCTCCTCTGACAGGAATAATCCCAGAACAAGCCATGGTTTATATCTCTAGCTTGTCACTGCCAGAGACATTTGCTTGCAGCAGGAGTGACTAACATGCTGGCTTATTCGTAAGGCTCTCTGGAACCTTGGCTCACTGAGGCATGTGAACAGGCTAATAATATTCCACATATTCTTCTATCTTTTTTCACTGGCCTGACAATTTTTTTAAATGGATAATCCTATACTTGTTCAAACACAATCCTTAGTATCCTTCGGCAACCATGTTAGAGGTCTCAACTACAAAGCATATTGTATGTAAATTATTATTTAAAGATTTAATCTGGGTTTTGAAAATATATTTACCTGTATATCTGTAAAGTTTGGAGCTGACTGAGTTCTCTGAAGTATTTCTAAATTTTGAAGAATTTTACTGAGTTCCACAAGGTTTGATTGACAGTGCGCAAGATCTGACACAAATTTAAAAGAAAAAGAAAGAGGTAGATAGGTTACCATAGTTAAAACTGTATTTTGCCAGAGTTTCTCTTGCCATAGATGGGACTACCTTGCCTGTACATGAGCATAATCACAGTTCTTCTAGCAACATACATAAAACGTTTAGCAACACTGTGGGCCAGATAGGCGGGGTATAAATTAAATAAATAAATAAATATAATATATCCCTATTGCACATTATTTATTTCTGCAGCAAGAAGGAAAAGAAGCAAGAGGGAGTGTGAAAACAAAGGAAGACAAGCAGAAAACAATGATAGGTAAACACCAGATGGACGGATGGACGGACAGACAGACAGCTGATCATTGTGGATACTGACAATAAATAACCCCTAGTAAAATACTTACCATCTAGTAATTAAATGCTTATAAGGGAAAGGAAAGTGCTCTCAGGAAAACAATTGGATTAGCCATTGCAAATCTGAAATTTAACAGTCCTTACAAGAAGATGTGGAGGAAACAGAAAGGGTAACTATTAAATCCTGCTGAGAGGGTTTTTCCCTCCATATCAAACAAAATGAACTATGAATAAACTCATTTTTTTTAAAAAAATAATTTTTAAAAACTAGGGATAAGGTACAAAAGGTAGAGTGGGATATGGGGGGGAAGAGGCAGAAGGAGAACACAAAATGGACTGTCATCCAATCTGTTCATGTTGTGATATCAAGTCGACTTTTCGCCTTTCTACAATTTGATTGCCTCCAGGTTTCAACTTACAGTTACATCTTAGTCTAATTCTATGTTATTCAAGCACTATCTAGTGACTCAAGCCATTTATATAATAAATCCCATCGTTCTGTTGCATTTTGTATTGGACAGTCTTTCAACACTTCTGATAGTATATCCATTTCTATCACTTCCCATATCTTCTCAATGAGTTCCTCTTATTTTGGTATCTCTGATTTCTTCCAGTTCTTAGCATAAAGAATTCTGGCTGCAGTGACTATATATATAACTAGGTAGTTCTTTCTCTTGCCTGTATTATCTGGTATAATGCTCAATAAAAACAATTCTAGGGTTCGTGGAACATTACAAAGCAGTATTTTTGTAACAGAGTATGTACTGATATCCAATACCGTTTCGCTACTCTACAAGCCCACCACACATGGTAAAAGCTTCCCTCTTGTGCTTCACACTTCCAACAAACATTTGACACCTCTGTATAAATGTTTGACAATTTTTCCGGAGTAATATGCCACCTATAAAACATCTTATATATGTTCTCCTTGAAATTTACCAATTTTGTGAGCTTTATGCTATTTTTCCATATTTGCAACCATTGATCAATATCAATATTATGTCCTATAATAAACTTATAATTGTTAAGTACACAACCATCGCGATGCTGGTCAGTTATTAAATTCTCTGTCTCATTAATCCACCAAAAAAGAAGAAGAAAGTGAATTGAAAAAGATTAAGCATAAACCAAAGGAAGGACCAACCTTCCGCGCACCTGTCCATCTCCTCCGAGTCCTGCAACCAAGCAACTACTTTACTTTGGCCCGTGGTGCATGTTGCAGGTAAGGGCAGCAGGCTATTACTCCTGGGAATAGGTGGCTGCCATGGGTAGTTATTCTGTAACAAAATATAGAAACAGGGAGAATTGTGGTATTGACTGTTGGCAGACATTTGCTGAGGATAAAAACGTCAAGAACGAACAAACATTTGACACTTAAAACCAAGTAACTCAGAAGGTACAGTGGGGTCTCGACTTACGAACTTAATCCGTATTGGAAGGTGGTTCTCAGGTCGAAAGGTTCGTAAGTCGAATCTGCATTTCCCATAGGAATGCATTGAAAACCATTTGATCCGTATCTGCTCTTTTCCGTCCATAGAAACTAATGGGAAGCTGCTATTCCGCCTTCTGCCACTAGAGGGGGATTTTTTTCTTTTTTTTCTTTTAACCTAACTCTTTTCTTTCCTTTTAAAAAAGGAAAGAAAAGAGTTCATAACTTGAATCTAAGTTCACAAGTCGAGTCCATATATTCCTATGAGAGCGGTTCGTAAATCGAAAAGTTCGTATGTAGAACCGTTCGTAAGTCGAGACCCCCAGCACAGCTGCCTTAAGTTATATAGCTTCTACCCTACAACAGTGCCATCCAAATGCAAAGATATATTGGCTGTAGTGGGTTTGGAACGGGTGGAAATGCTTGCACCAACACAACAGCCCAGGTGGATCTGCTGCCGCAACTCTTTTGCCAGCTGGGGCAAGGTCTTTGGCCACCTTGGCAAAAAAGAGCTGAGCTGGGATGGGCCATTTTAATGACCTTGAGAAATGGGAAATTTTCCCTTGAAATATTTCTTGCCACTCACCTTTGGAGAGGAAGAGAAGGGAAGATTTGCATTTCTTTTTAATGGCTGTTAACTGACACAGAGAATCAGCAATGTTTTAAGAGGGTAAAAGCCTTTTGAACCACTTTTGGTATGTTAGCAATAGTTAAAAAGAAAGGCAAAAATTCTCTGCCCTGCCCGTCAAAGGAGAACCAACAGGAAATTTCCAGTTAAGTGGCTTCTCCAATGGACAGCCACCAAGCTGCTTTGCTTTGCTCCCAGTGATCGCACATGCTGGAATCAAACCAAATGGAGCTATTTTATCTGCACATAAAAAACAGTAGCTCCTGACAGAATATCAGAAAGGCGTGGGTAGGAATACTCAGAGGCTGGGCTGCTTCATGCTGACACGTAGGTGTGTCGTCTGGTTGCTGGCAAAAGGAGTGAACCCGACCTTCCCCAGAGTGGACCAAACAGCAGGACAAATGCCTGTGTATTCAGGCAATTAGCTCAAAAGGCAGGAAATAAACAGTACATGAATACAAACTGCATGATGATCTTCCACACCAAGGGCATGTTATACCTTAGCCTCAAGCAAAGCAACATTAGCAGCTGGTGAAGACTCCGTTGTCGAAGCTGGAGGGAATATATGGAAGCTAGCATCTCGAGGAGATCGTACAATCTCATTCTGACGATATAATCTGTGGTGACGCAGCTTTGACACCCAAGCATCAAATGACTCCTGTGATTTCACCTAGTGAAAAGAATTGTTAGGAGTAAGGAATTGTTCAAAGCCATCTTTCACCATGCAGTTTGACTCTTGCAAATGTGAAACAGAATTAGTAGGAGAACGTCTTACTTTCAAATGATAGATGTGCTCTTCAGTATCAAGGTCAATCCTGCGAGCTTTCTTTTTAATTGACATAACAGATAAGCCAACATCTATGCTCCCATGGACCTTTCCCTTTTGAGTCTGAAAAAAATCAAGACAAAACATTACCGATAGTTTAGGAAGTAAAAAGCTGATTTAATTATTCTATATAGTTTCTAATAGCAATATATATTTTCTCAGAGCTTGGGAAAAATTGGACCATAATTCCCGGGAGCTTCCAAGTTTTGTGTTCAGGGGTTATAGATGAAGAATTTCAAAAGATGAAAGATAACATTGTTAAATACTTTAATGAGCAGGAACTCAGAAAGTTGTGAGTAAATACTGTATATCAAATGCTATTTCCTGGAAGGGACATCATAAACCTAGGAATCCATGATCATTTGTTGACACCAATATCTGATAAGAAAAGAGATGCATGAAATATATAGTAGACAGAACATTTTAAAATTATGAATGATTGATTGATTGATTGATTTTAAGTCTTAAGCTAGGAATCAAAAGAGTCATATGCATCTATGAGAAATAATTGTGCACATATCTAAAGGATTTTTCATTTTGTTTACATTTCTGTGGTGGCTGGTCTCACTGCTGAAAAGGAACATCACACTTCATATTATCCCATTTCAGATGTGAGAATGACATACGTATAGGGTAGCCATTGGTCAAGATTTTGGCTTGAGTGCCAGATCCTATGCTATGGGTCCATAGTCTGCAGTGTCTCGATTTGATGATATTTTGAAATTTGTTGACAAACAGGTAAATACAGTACAGAAAGGGGGGAAAGGGAGTGTCTTGACCTTTTGCTTATTCTCTGCTTAAATTACACTTTGTGGAGAAGAAACTTTCAGTTTTGAAAGCTTCCTCCTGTATTTCTTTATCTGGCAGCATTCCTCCTTCAGCATCATGCTGCGATTCCTTATTGACATTCTGCTCTGTGTTCTCTACATCCCAGTAGTCCTGCAACCAGCAGTTCTCCAGGACAGGGAGACGTGCAGATTTGCAAGCAGACGGTGATGCTGTTGATGACTGCTGCTCCTTCTGCATCTACTGTTTCCACTTGCTTTTCTCCTCCTCCTTGCATGAAGGAATATTCAACAGGACGCCCACTTGGCATCCTCAGTTCACCTCAGTGCCGCATGTTCCGCACCCATGACTTAAGAGTTGCTATGGAAATAGCCCAACAGAGTAGTATCAAGCCTACACACCACCACCAAATTGTCTAAAAGGTGAGTAATAAGACAAAGAACCATTGATTTCCCTCTTCTCCCTCAGTGCTAGGCAACGGTCTCTCTTTTCCTTGTCTGAAGAGCACCTTTGTACAACTGCACATATTTAATAGGACTCTAGACAACAATTTCCATTACGTAATTACTCCATTGTAGACCACTGGAAACTATGTACTAATTTCTAAATGTCAACAGACAGTTCCAGAAGTGTAACTAGCATCCTTCTTTATCCTTTGGATAACAGTTGAAAACTTTATTTGCCTAAAAATTTCAGTTGGACAATCCGTCCTATACAACAGCGGTCCCCAACATTTTCGGAACCATGTACCGGTTTGGGGGTGGGTGGGCTCAGTGTGCAGGGGGTGTGGGCATGTTGCGCTCGGGGGCGTGTCGCACTCATGGGTGTGTGTGTGTTGTGCTTGCGTGCATTAGTGTGACATGCCTACCCACAAGCGCAACACACCCATGTGTGTGGGGGGGGCAGAAATACGTCTCTGCGGCCCAGTCCTAGGAAGCCCATGGACCTGCCACGGAATGGAGGTTAGGAACCCCTGCTATACAATAGTTAAACTTATTTTAAAATCTGTTTTATAGTTAGGTTTTCATATTTGCAATGTTTTGTGAAATATGACCATTTGGGTTTTACTTGTCTACCATTCTGATATTTTTTTCATCAGTTATAAACAAGCAATTCCAGTATAAATCACTGTATCTGCAGACTGAAACATTCATCATAGTCTCTTACAGTGGGCAATTTTTACCACAACGACAGTTTGTGTCCAAGTAAGTTAAAAATAAAATGAAAACACTGCATGGATCACAGTGAAAACATAACATGGTTAAGAGTGAGAGGAGTTACAAAAACAAACACAAAAAAGGGAAAACAGAAGCCAAATAAAGACAGCACAAGGAAAATCACACACTGAAGCAGCAAACAAAGCAAATCAACTGGACAGGGCAAAGTCTTGTGCAAATTTTAAAATAAATTGTTAGCTGCCTTTGGTGATCTTCTGTGGATTTTCTTCAAGAGACAGGTACAAAGTTTAAGAGCAGCTACAAATAAGGCTCTTTTGCTTGTCCCAACCAGGTGTGTCGTGTGTATCGGCAGGACTGAGAAGCCAATCTCCCTCAAAGATCTGAAAAGATCTCATGCCTTTTCTCTTTCAAATCTCAGTGGGAAGGTAGACAAGAGACTGCAAATATTACACACGCCGGAGCAACCCCATCCCTCCAAATGCTCACATCAATATACTGTAAGACAGAACTGGACTGCCAGAAATCCAGGGCTGGTATCTCATCACCCCTGCACTTGGAAAACTACAGAGTTCCTGCACTCTCCAAAAATCTTTCTTAACAAAATGAAGGATCTTTAAAACAAAGATCCTGAAAAACTGCGCATTCTAGGGGCCAATTCTTTTTTTTTTCCAATTAAAAATGGGGTGTGGAGGTTTTCAAGGGTGCTGGGGGGGCCTATCAAAACATGGCAACTTTCTTTCCCTGACCAAGAGGAAGTCACAAGGGATATTCTGGCCAAAGAATGTATAGATCCTGTGGGGGAGATGGGATCACCCCTGGGGACACGTACAGGCCAGGACCGCCCTTGATATCAGAGCAACACACATGACACACAGCCTGATGCTCTGAGAACTAGGGAGAAGGACAAAATCTTGTCTCATTTTGTGCCAAACTTGGAATCACTGCAGATCTTCAAAAGAACCTTCAGGAATTCATATGTTATTCACCGTTTTCTCCTACAATAATTTCACTAGATTGCTGCATCTATGACATCATTTGACTTGTAATTTAAGCTTTTCTTTCTAGTAGGCTAGACATCTTTATGATATATTGTTAGAGTTTATTAATAATGGATTTTAATATAGTCATAAGAGTTCTGGAATTGTTATACTGCATACCTATATTTTGGAAGTCACTTTTGGAGGTCTTTTCTCTAAAAGGTTGCCTACTAACGTAAATATTTAAGATTAATGAACAAGGAAAAAGCAGGAACAGCTCACACTGCTTCTACTTTTCCCACAGCTAACCTCCCTCCCTATTCTTTATGAGTGCCAGAGGTTGTGTCAGAGAGTTCAGAACTTCTACACTTCAAAATACCTAAATGGACTCTTCAGCTGGCCACCAATAAGAGCAGGCTGGTAACTCTTGACACTTCCATAAATAATACTCAAGGCAGAATCAAATGAAGGAAAGGCATGTGCCTTGTAACAGAGGAGGTCTTTCCCCCAAAATAGGCTCTCCTACATGCCCACAGCTACCAAGCAAGAAAGGATGAGTGATAGGAATATGCATTATCCAAATTAAATTCACCCACCCACCCCCTTTTTACTTACATCAATTGGTGATTTCGAATACTTCAGCATTCCGTTATCCAGGACAAAAAAACGCTGGGGAAAACAATGTTTAAATGATTTTATAACATCTGGCATAAAACAGGGTAACTTGGCTGATGGAGATGAATGTCTGTTTTTCGTAGTTTTTCAGTAAACGATGGGCAGCAGAAATAAAGTTAAAGCACAACCATCTCCCAGCTCTTTTGGTGGCAAATTATTATAATATGAATGCACAGCCATTTGTTCAGCATTTTTTCAGTCTTCAAAGCACTTCCCATAAGTATGGCTGCAGTAACTTTTACTATAACCCTCTCATAATATGCCCGAGAGGAGAATGCCCTTGTGCCATAGCCTGCCCAAACCCATTCAAAAATGAAAATGTCCACCAATAAACAAGCGTTACAGAGCAGGCCCTTCTCTTCTTAGCAAGAAACATCGTTATCTGTTATGGCACATATCTGCTAAAGAAGGCTCCATACTGATAATACACTAATCAGAGAGAGCATGGTCCATAAATATTTATTCTCCCTCTCCACAAAAAAGTCCAAGAGCAAACTGATTTGTCATAGACAGTAAGGATCCTTTCATTTTAATCTAAAGCAGTCATTTCTACAATATTTTATGGATGTTTTTACCTTGTGCCAGCCTTTTAAAGGCCATTTCCTTTTCTTCAGCATGAATCCTTCATGTTTGTCTGGCTTCTGAACATTAGTCTGACCAATTTTCAAGCCTTCTATAATTTCCCAGCTGTCTGGCTCCTGAAAGAAAGGGCAGGGAGCAAACTCATAATTTCAATATTATCTGAAATGGCTCATTACCATATGAGCCATGTTTTCACTTTTCAGATGGCAATCCCACATGCCAGGGAGACGTACGTCTGAGTAAGGATACATAACCTTGGGCTGTTAAGTGTCCATGTTTGTCGAATGACAAAGAGCAATATTAAACTGAATTGCCTCCTGGATGCTATGCTAGGTAATCAGATTTTAGGAGACTTCCTTTATAGTCCAAAGTATTTAAAAAAACAATCCTGGGGCAGAACTATTTGTTACAGGTGATGTACAGCTGCCTAAATTCAGTTGTCATTTCCTCTTGCAGCAAGTTGGAAGGGAAATCCATATGGCTTGAGAATTCAGCTCCTTGTGGAGGAATCCAAGGAAACAGTGGAGGGGGGCAGGCTGTGATCTTCACTGAAACTACTGGTTGGCCACTCTAAGAGTTTTAGACACTGGAGAGATACTTGGTCTGTTCCCACGTGGTCTTTATAAGCACTACCACTAAGACTTCCTAATCCGATAGCAAACCTTAAGCAGGACTGAGCTCTAGCACCTCTTGTGGTAGAAATTGAGAACATTCTAAAAACATGGATCAGGTTGTCAAGCCTCAAACAGCATTGATAAATTTAAATTCAGCTGTGTCTCTGTAATTAGATCAGTGGTCAGAGAACAGGGGTAAATTACCCCAAATGGGGTAAAAATGAAAATCCTGGAGGTAATGAGGATGGTTGCGGCAGCATGACCCTCCTCATTACCCCCAGGCATTTTATTTCCGACAATACTGTGTGTAGGCGGGCATTCCGTTGTGGGGAGAGCGAGCGCTGATGAGGAGGCCCCCTTCCCGCCCCGCTTCACCTGAGCTCATGGCCAGTGGACCTGCCAGCACTGCGGTGCCCAGCTCCCTTCAGCTTTCCCAGCGGTGTGGCGGCTCCAGACTGGCTGCTTGGGCGGCAGCAGGTCCCGGGTGAGCGCAGAAGCGGGGGGGAGGGAGAGGGTTGGCCATGGGTGGTGAGAGCGGAGGGGCGGTGCTGGGAGGGGGCAGGGTAATGTTGGTGTATATAAATTTTTTTTGGGGGGGGGAAGATAAAAAAGTTCCCTGATCCCTGAATTACATGGTGAATCAGCAACAACTTCTGGTCGCCCAATATAACTTTAAAGTGTTACAAAGGCATTCTACTACCAATGCAGTAATAAAAAATCATGCCAGTGAAACTATGTCACTGCGTGTTATATTTTATGCATAGGACATCAGAAAAGAAGTGTAACTGACTTGAGGCCTTACCACAGATTAAGAGAGCGGAATGGCAACCAACAGAACAAGATAACAAACATAACTGCCATCCTACATCCCAAACATTGTCTTTGATGCCACCATACAGGCGTGGGCAACCTGCAGCCTTTCAGATGTTGTTAGATGATAACAACATCACCCGCTACTCTTGATTATAGTGGCAAGGACCTATGGAGTATCAGCACATGGAGAGCCATAAATTTGTTCTACCATGTATAAAACGCAAACAAATTACAATGCCTAAGATTACTTTTGTGATGTGGATATTATGGTGTATTTTCTGGCAGCAACATTATCATGAACTATGGACTGCATCTCAACTATTTTTCATTAATTAGCTTTTCATTACATCCTTCCATGAGATGCAGCTTTTGTAGGTACAGTACAATTATCTTCAAAACTATGTACATGCAAAATTAGAACTATTCATATTGGAATGAATTTGAAGTGAAATCAATAACTTAAAAGTTGACCATGTTCAACAGAGCAGTAAGAATTGACTGCTTTTGTGCCCTTCTATTTGTGTATGCGATCAATATTTGAAATCCTACAACAATCAGTATATAAAATAATTATGTCTTATGGAAGTTTTACATACCATGTTTCCCCAAAAATAAGACAGGGTCTTACAGTGTATCACAGAAGTGAGTACACAAAATATTGACATTTTGTGCCCAATTTGGACATTGTCACTTAGGGGTGTACTCACTTTTGTTGCCAGCGGTTTAGACATTAATGGCTGTGTGTTGTGTTATTTTGAGGGGACAGCACATTTACACTGTTATACAAGCTGTATACTCACTGCTTTACGTTGTAGCCAAGTGTCATTTCTTCAGTGTTGTCACATGAAAAGATATACTGTACTAAAATATTTATGAAATGTGAGGGGGTGTACTCACTTCTGTGATGTACTGTATATTAAATTTTGCTCCAGAAATGTATTAGGGCTTATTTCCAGGGGATGTTTTATTTTCTTTCATGTATAACAATCTACATTTATTCAAATACAGTCATGTCATCTTCTGGTTGCTGCACAATGGTGGAGGGCGGGCTTTCACTTAACTGGGGCTTATTGTTGGGGTAGATTTTACATTATGAGCATCCTGAAAAATCACACTAGGGCTTATTTCCAGGTTAGGTCTTATTTTCACAGAAACAGGGTATTAATTGTGCTTTCCATGTTTCTTAAACTTGCAGTTGTTCAGTTTCGTTTAACTTTCCTTTGTTTGTTTATTGTGGAAGAAACTAATAGACGAACACTACACTAATAGCATCATTTCCATTTGTTTCTTTCCATCAGGAGAATAGTCAATAGAAGCACTGCTTTCCTAATACAATATTTACTTACCCTAGAAACTCTCCTCTTTTGTGTATTTTTTCACCGGTGGAGGCTGCAAATGGCACCATCTGGCCTTCGTTAGGTTTTAATTTAAATTAATTAAAATTTTCCTAAGCTCTTAGAATCCCTAGGGCTCCCTTTTTGCCCTAGGGAAGCCTTTGGGAGGCTCAGGATTGATTGGGGGAGGGGGCCCTTGAACAGTCAAAACCTGTTGCAAAATGCCTGCTTCTGGGAGTGACATCACTGGCAGTAATCTGGTGATGATGTTTGGCTCTTAAACCCTTCCTTTTCCATCCCAAGGCTTCCCCAGGGCGAAAGAGAGCTCTAGGGAGCTTCAGAAGCTGGAAGGGGAGGGGACGGAAAGTTTTTTTATTACTTTACATTAAATGTTGCCAGTCACAGATGGTGACATCACTTGCTTCTGCAGTATAAATTTACACCAATAGCATTTTGGCCATTGTTACAGAACTCATCTCAGTGATACCAGTTAGGTTATCATCTATATCAGTGGTTCGTAACCTTTTTGAAAGAAACGCAGTGCCAGAAAAACATAGGGAAAATCCAGCCCGGGGAGGCAAAATGGAATGCAGGAATTATTTTGGTGATACTTTCTCCCTTCGTGGTCCCATAAATCTGCTCTGGAAAAAATGGCTTCTCTTCCCATTTGGTTGGCAGCTGTTCTCCATCACCTGAGTGACAACAACTGGACACAACATGCAGCATTTGGATCAGACCAGCTTCTGTACTCTAGCAGCTCCACTTTTCCAAGGCCCCAATATTCCATAAGTCTGTAAACATGGGTCATTTTAACAATTTTCGTTCAGATTGCATAAGAGTTTACATAATTTACTTCATTTGCAGACAATTTTCTTAAGCAGAAAGACTGGCAACTCAGGCCTAATCTACATTTATAGTTGCCTCGCAATAAGTCTGTTCTCAATGGAATTGATTTAGAAATCACGTGGTATTTGGGTTGAGGTGTGTGTCCTCTTGGGAAAATGTTTAAGATCTTTTAAAGCTGTGGTGTATCTTGGTTGAGGGGGCTACACTGGCATTTCATTTGAGGCTTGTCTGCTTTGCCCCCCCACTGGCCACTCAGCTCAGCTGCTGTGGTGTGCGGAGGGAGGGAGGGCAAAGCAGCTTGTCCCTTTAGAAAACCTGGCTGCTTCTGTCCCTTTAAAAAGGTTCCAACTGTTCCCATGTTTCCCATAGAATACAACAGAGAAATGAAGGGTGCCTGACTTTGCAGTGATACAAAAACACTGATCCAAGCATGGATCCCCATGGAACCACATGATTTCAACACCGGATCATCTCCAAACCACTGTCCAGTCCATGGGCCGAGATTGTGCCTATGGTTGAGAATGTTTTGTGGATAATCCTACATAAAAATCCAGTGAATCCAAGAGCCCCTGATCCATTTTTTGCTCAAAGACAGCTTTTCACTCCTCCAACCCTGCATTGGACTTGCTGCCTCCCCCCCCCCCCCCCTCACAATAAGTCCTCTCAGGCTCCCTGCATTTGTACATCCTTCATTCCTTCCTCCCTGCCAAGGGATTTCGTTGTTGCTGCCGCCACCTCCCCCCATCACCCCTGCTGTTTACCCAAAGTTGCGATTTGCAGCAACAGAATTGTTTACGTTATGCAGAATTGATCGGGGTTCATATGTGTGCTGCAATAATTGACCCTCTGGTAGAACACTGTTTGACATTGTTTTCCAACAAAAAAGCACACTTTCCTGGCAAGGCAATCCGTGTTTCTGTTTATGGCATGGGGAACACCTTTTTTACATTAAGTTTTTTTTAAGCAGAAGGTGATACAAGTGTGTTTCTTTGTTGTCAATGGGATCATGCCCTCGCTTGAGTATGATTTGGTCTGCTTTAATTTCACTGATTTGTGTACTCAAGGGAAGTGAGACCAGCAAGCACATATAGTATCACAAATAAGGATGTTTCACACAAATATACAATATCTCATTGATTTAACCACTATTGTAGACATTGTGATCTTACTTACTTTAGATATGCTGACTGGCTCATTTTCCAGTAGCGGCTTGCTGATTACGAAGTCCGCACTTCCAGAAGAAACATTCCGCTCTAGTACATGGCCACTCTAAAACAATCAGAAACAACAAGAGTAAACATTTTTCTACATTCAAAATTGATGCCAGTCAATATGATACAGATTATAGAACTGTGTCGCATTCTCAGAGCTTAACTATTCTATGCCCAAAGTCCAATCAACCTTCTAATTCAAAAATTCAAAACTGAGAGTCTTAAGGCATGTCACATTTTGGCAACATCTTAGCTGTGCAGAAGGGTGCAAATATTAATAAAATGAAATGTGTCATGTGAGATATTGCTGTTACCCCACAATTTGCAGTCTGGTGCCTCTTCAGGAGGAAAAGGACAATACAGTGGTGCCTTGCATTACGGCGTTAATTCGTTCCAGTGAAATCGCTGTAGAACGAAAACGTCGTAAAGCGAAATTAAAAAGCCCATAGAAACACATTAAAACCCGTTTATTGCATTCCGATGGGCTGGAAACTCACCGTCTGACGAAGATCCTCCACAGGGCGGCCATTTTCGCTGCCTGTGCAGTGAGGAATCCGTCCCAGAAAACAGCGGGGGGCATTTTGTTTACCCGGCGGCCATTTTGAAACCGCCAATCAGCTGTTCTAAAATCATCATTTTGCAAAGAATCGGTTCCCGAAGCAGGGAACCGATCATCTCAAAGCGAAATTCCCCCATAGGAAACATCATAAAGCGATCGCAAAAAGTTCATCGTAATGCGGTTTCGTCATTAAATGGAGCAATTGTAAAGTGAGGCACCACTGTACAAGTTACTCAAATAAATCAAATAAACAAGCAAGGTCTTATTATAGTTAAGTTCTGCCAGACTTCTTGTCCTAATTTTCTTCACATTCAGTGGCCTTTTCTCGTATCTTCTTGCAGCAGCTGCTAGCTTGGGAGTAAAGAAAAACAAGCAATCATGATAATAATTGCTTCTTGTAAAAACAAAACGAAGGAAAGGAAGAAAATGTTTAAAAGTTCACAGCATAAATATTTGTCATATATAGGTTTTATAATGGAGAGCAGATATCTGAGCATTCCTCCTCTCACAGGATAAAGAATTAAAATATTCTGCCAGCCCCTGCGCCCACTGAGGGCACATCTGCTCAAAGGGGGGGTGTGTTCCTTCCCTGAAAGCTACTTCCCGTGTGGACCCTCCCTATACAGGTGTCCCATGTCACAGTAGTGACAGGATACAACAATGATGGTGGGGCCACAAGTAAGAGACCCTCTAGCTCTAGCCATGAAGTGACTGTTAATGAAGCATCGAACTGCAAAACTGTTGTACCTTCCCTGAATTACACTGAACAGAACATTTCGTGTTTTTCTATGCTGTACTAGAAGTCATAAAATTTAAACCTTTGCATTTGTTCCCAGAGGTGTCTTATTCAGTGGCAATCAGTAAGCGGCAATTCACTAAATTGCAATCTATCTGTCTTAAATATGCCTGCCCTCTTTTATCATTATGATATAGAAACATATCTGGTGCACTAAAATAACATAAATCTTTTTAGACATTTCTACAGCTATTCCCTCAAGAGGCTTTAACTGAACAATACTCATACTATGGAAATGTCAAGCACACAGGAGAGGTTTCTTCAACGCTTTGCTCTTTGAAACCCCTAATTTTGTAGCACAAATGTCATTTTGAAATGAAACAGGTGGGTCCGCTTCAGGAAAAAGTGCCTTGTAAAAAACACATGGCAGAAATACATCCTAATCAAAATTATTTCAAAAGCTCTTTTCCAAGAGAAAATGTACTGAACAATGCATTTTTCTTTTGGAATATGTTTGATAGATTGTACTGCTCAAATTCGAATAGCAATTTAAAGTTGTCATAGATGAAACATTTGACAGGTTTAGTAAGAGAATCAAGGAGCTAAAGACATTACTAAAATGTACCTCTGCCTCACACAGAGAAAAAGAAACTGAGAACCATGGGTTTTAATTAGACCTTAGTTCTTTCCACATAGTTAAAGTAAGTGAAGAAACACCCAGATAGCTTTCTGCATGATTTTCCAATGCGCACAAGGTCCAGGTACATATAGTGCAATATACCTAGAGAGAATGAACACACAGTCTAGTGGCCAGGGATGCGATTTTCCGGAATTCCAGGATCCCCAGTCCCATAATTCTGCAGAGGAATCTCCCAGGCCGAATGATAGGATCAGGAGACGTCAAGCCATCAGAAAGTAGAGCAGCCCCCCCTCAGCTCCATGCTGTCCCTGTGCTGCTTCTCTGAACTGCTAGAAAAGGACCCATTGCACCATGAAGTTGCAAGGATTCCCTGTGACTTGCAAAAGGGACATGGGGGAATGAGTTCCAATAGAGTCTTCCTTTGTATACTCTACATGGAGGCAGCTCCCCATCAGATCTCATTGGGGAAAAAAAAATCCTTGGCAACATATCTCTGAAAATGCCTGAAAGTGACCTTAAAAATAAAAATTTTTAAATAAACTAGGTATTAGCATAAGTATTCCTCACTAGGGGAATACTTGAGGGACGTGGTGGCGCTGCGGGCTAAACCGCAGAAGCCTGTTTAGGCCGCAGAAGACCAAGCAGTCGTAAAATGGAAGTGCCCGTCGCTTGTCCCAGCTCCCGCCAACCTAGCGGTTCGAAAGCATGCAAAAGCGAAAAATGCCTGAAAGTGACCTTAAAAATAAAATTTTTAAAATCAACTAGGTATTAGCATAAGTATTCCTCACTAGGGGAATACTTGAGGGACGTGGTGGCGCTGCGGGCTAAACCGCAGAAGCCTGTTTAGGCCGCAGAAGACCAAGCAGTCGTAAAATGGAAGTGCCCGTCGCTTGTCCCAGCTCCCGCCAACCTAGCGGTTCGAAAGCATGCAAACTGGCTTTGTTGTATCATTGACATTGCCCATTCCTCAGCTGTACCAAGAGGATGCAAGCTATGTAACTGAAATGGTCGTAACTGCCATGTATGCACTCTTATACGAATTACTGTATTGTTTTTAGTTTGGAGGGGGGAGGAGGCCGCAAATGTGCTGGGATAAAATGTTACATTATTCTATTTGCTATAGCAAAAGAAGCGATGGGTATCTTTTCACCCAAAAAAGTAACTGTTCACAGGACCCTATGTTATTTGTAACTAGATTGGTACTCCCCAAGCTGTGGTGGAGAATGAGGGAGTGAGTAAGTGAAGGCTTTTGCTCTCCTCTGGCTTTGTTGTATCATTGACATTGTCCATTCCTCAGCTGTATCAAGAGGACGCAAGGTATATATAACTGAAATGGTCATAACTGCCATGTATGCACTCTTATACGAATTACTGTATTGTTTTTAGTTTGGAGGGGGGAGGAGGCCGCAAATGTGCTGGGATAAAATGTTACATTATTCTATTTGAGCTATAAACTCCAATAAAATAAAATTTAGAAGGTGACAGAAAATACACAAAATCACCCCATTCACGGGAAACACATATGTACTGCAACACTCCTCAGATAAAGCAGGTATAATAACATTTTTATCTTATAAAAAGCCCCACACCAGCCCAGGCTCTCCTACATCCTTACACAAGGGCATCAGGTGACAGAAAATACACAAAATTCACGGGAAACACATATGTACTGCAATGCTCCTCAGATAAAACAGGTATAATAAAATTGTTATCTTATAAAAAGCACCACACCAGCCCACCTCCCACACAGTCACATTAAGGGGATTGATTTCTATGATAACTCAAAAATTTATTTTGTACAGTATAGAGGAAGGCTGTGAAGGTTTGGGTAACACATGGCTCACCAAGAGGGCAGTTTTACCAAATATAGTCCCTTCAGAACTGCATTGCCAAAGTGCAGGAAACTTCCCTGCTAACCCTTCACAGGGAACCAAGATAATTCCATTAAATAAAGCATGAAACACACACACACACACAAAGAGGGACAGACAGAAAGACACTCTCTAAAATGATTGTTTCCTGCTTGTTTAAAAAGTATTTCCTAGTTTGCCCCCCCCCCAAAATCCAGTCATACAGCAGCAGTCAGAGGCAACATATGGGGCATAGCGTGGATCAAAATCTGAAGAAATGGAATTTGATCCATAAAAACTCATGCTAGAATAAATCTGTTAGCCTTTAAGGTACTGCAATATTTTGCTTCCTCCCCCTTTTTGTTGTTGTTTATCCTCCTTTATAATTATAACCACTGAGCAGTTTTTCTCTCCAACATTTCTTCAGATTTGGTTGTGAACATGTCTGGGGACAAGCAACAGAGGAAAGGGGACCGATACAAGGAAGGACCGATAGAAAAGTTTTTGGTTCCTTCACCCTGCCCTGAAAAAGTGTTACCTACATATCTAGGGAGCAACCTGGTATCTCCTTTCATCAACCTGGTACCTACTTTCGTTCTAGGGCCAGATTTGAATGGGCTCTCCTACATCCTTACACAAGGGCATCTGTAGTTCAAATTCTCCTTTCCATGCATTCCTTCTCAAACCAGCAATGGGAAATCAAAGATAACAGGGTGCACAAGAGACTTTATCAATAATAATAATACTATCAATACAAATAATACTTAAGTCTGTTGATTTTCACCCTTCTCTTTCAACAAAAGAGAAATAAATACAGTAACAATAAAGGGAAAGGAACTGCGGAGTGAACAAAACAGGATTCTTTGACTTACTTGCTTACTCTCCCGCAGGGAAGACGATGAAGAGGAGGCACTTTTATGAGATGGTGTAGAGGTTTTGTGAGCAGGAGATATACCTTTCTCCTCTGAACTCATCACTGCAGCTAAATTCTGGTGATCGGTTTTCACGGTTAAAGACTACATTAATCTCTCTTTTCAGTCTTCCCTATAAGAAGTGAGCCAAAAGATTTTCAGCATTACTCCAGTTCACAGTATGTCCTTTATAGGAAAGGCGAAGATGAATTCAAAAGGCATCCAAACCAGACCTTGAAAGAGAAGAAAAAGATGAAGAGGTTGTTTCTATACATGCACTTTATGCACACACACACACATATACAATTTGCACAAACATGCACATGACAACCAATGAGGTATAGTGCTTAAAGGATAAACTAAGACTCAGGGGAGCTGTTTGGCCATGGAAGATCACTGCACGGTGACAATGGTGAAACCACTCCTATGTATCCTTCATGCCATTGTAAACACTATTAGAGTTGCAACTTGATGGCACACAACACGCACATGTGCATGCACACACACATATTTTTCCCATTATACATGCCCTAATAAACAAAAACAAGGCAGGGGAGATTTACCTATTTAGCTTTGAAGCAGTCTATAAGCCAACCTCAGCCAAGCCAATGAAAAGCCTGTGGCTTATGTTTTTGCAACGTACAAAATACTTGTGTCTTGCAATGCAAACTGGAGATGCAAAGCAACTGAAGACTATTCGGCATAGGAGCAGGGCAGGAGCCGCTGTGACGCATTTTCAAAGGAGTACCAACTGGAAAACGAGGAAGTCATTCTATCTGGGAGGCAATTTCTGTTCTGCACAACTTCTAACAAATGCTTTCCCCGATTATAGAATACATTTCTCTCTTACAAGATATTGATTGGTCTTTCCTGCTGCTATCCAAGAGACAAGTACTTGGCAACTAAATTACATAAAATTAGCTTTCCCCAATCTCTACCTACTCCTCTACAGTTTATTTGTTTAAACACAGAAACAAATTCACACTCACATAGGACTGAGGATATAAAGTGAGTGGGTGGCACAATGTATAAAGGGTATAAACAAACCCTCTGCTTAATTTCACAAATCAAATGCCTGGCCAATAACACAAGAAGTTTCACCAGACATTTTCCATGGAATCCGCTTTCATAGCTTGGCTGCAGACTTGGGACAGGGTGTGTGATATGAACAGGCTGTCTTGTGTAGAGTGCATTGCTCCCACTGCTGCACAACACACATTGACTTTAACCCCATTTGTAATTGGAGGAAGGGCTTCCAAGTGGTCAGGACATGGAGCTTTGAAACAAGTCTATTTCACAGGACTTCTGATTTAGAGAGTATATGTGGACTGCAACTCCATTGGACAAAAGGAACTTTATTTTTCCTAATATTTGCACATGTGAGTGGGCATATCGTAGAAGAAGAAAAAATTAAATTTACTCCCATCCTGTCTCATACATACACAGCTCAGTAACAGAGCTGATGCTTTGTATCCAGCAGGTCCTGGATTCAATTCATCGTACCCCCCTTCAGGGCTAGGAAAGGCCCAGAGAGTTACTGTCAGCATCAAACAAGTACAGTGGTGCCTCGCAAGACGAGCACTTCGTAAAACGAAGAAATCGCATCACGATGAAGTTTTTGCGATCCCAAAAGCGATCGCAAAACGATGTTTCCCATGGGTTTTTTTCGCTTTGTGATGATCGGTTCCCTGCTTCGCTAACGAATTATCGCAAAACAAAGATTTTCGCACATCTGATCAGTGGTTTCAAAATGGCCGCCGGGTAAAAAAAAATGACCACCCGCTGTTTTCTGGGACAGATTCCTCACTGCATGGGCAGCGAAAATGGCCACGCTATGGAGGATCTTCACTGGACGCATTGAAGGGGTTTCAATGTGTTTCTATGGGCTTTTTAAAATCGCTTTACGATGTTTTCGTTCTACAGCGATTTCACTGGAACAAATTAACATCGTAATGCGAGGCACCATTGTACTGGACTCGATGGGCCAGTTACCTGGAAGTAGCTTTCTATGTAACAACTATTGAAAACTACAGTCCCAATGCCATGCTTTGACTCTCACAAGCTAAGGAGCTATGTATATTTTAGCAGTGCAATGATATAACACAGAAAGGGTCCATGCTCCAAGTCTGTAACTACACGGCATGCTTGAATTAACAGTGTGTAAATACAGCACAAAGGTCTATATTATGGGTGTTATTTAAAGACGTACATATGCTCTTATTATTTATTTATTTAGTTTTGGACTTATATACCGCCCCATAGCGCTACAAGCGCTCTCCGAGCGGTTTACAATTAATTATACAGGCTACACATTGCCCCCCCCAGCAAGCTGGGTACTCATTTTACCGACCTCGGAAGGATAGAAGGCCGAGTCAACCTTGAGCCGGCTACCTGGGATTTGAACCCCAGGTCGGGAGCACAGTTTTAGCTGCAGTACAGTGTTTTAACCACTGCGCCACGAGGCTCTTGATTTAGCACATTTTTAAAAAAAAGAGATTCTCATATGTAAAATAGCTGAACTTTAAAAGGCTTGGCATATTATTCCAAAAGAGGAAAATAATAATTTTAGTTCATTGAACTGTACTCAAGAGCTTATTAAAGAGCTAAAAAGGAAATGTTTTCAGCTATTTATGGTGAATAGGGTGATAAAAACACTTGTCAACTTGACTGTGGATAAGTGAAAATCTAAATCACAAACATCTGAGCTCCATTCAATTGATTCATGTGGAAAATTTTATATTTATATTTGGCATGAGTTGTATGAGAGAGACTGATAAAGAGAGGAGATGTGATTATTGGGCTGTGTCTTGCCCTTTTAAAAGACATTAATGCAGTGGAACATGGTACTAGTCAACAACTTGATGGAAAAAATAAGATGTTTTAAGAAATGCTCAAAAGCAATAGGTGAGTGGATACACGGGAAACAATATTTTTTCCATAGCTTCTTGTAGAAAGAACAAGATGAAAAAGTTTAAAAGGTAACATGGTGATAATCATGAGATGAGTGGATGAGGATCAAGGAGATCCTGTGTTCAAGTCCTCATAGAATGGAGCTTGCTGGATGATCTGGGGACCAGACTACTCTCATTCTAACCAACCTCACATAGTTAATAACTAATGACATAACATGACAAGCAAACTTTGAGTTGACTACATGGTCATTTAGGTTTGGTCCGCTGCATGAATAGGGTCGTTCAGTCCTAAAGATGGTGATTAGATGACATCCTTGCTGGAAAGAACCAGGTCTCCCCCCAGATCAGTCCTATATGCATCTTTCTGAACCCTTGTCAAGGGCATCTACTTTTCTGGTGTGAGTAGGATCATTCTGATATGGTCTGTTTCCAGCCCATGTAATCACAGGATTAAAGATAAGGAGGGTATTTATTTTTGATTACTTTTGGTTTGGGGTATATAGCTTATTTCATCTTTGTAACCTGCCCTGAGTACAGTAGTGTAAGTCAGGTGGTATATAAGCTAAATACTACATTATTTGGAACTCTGGAGTGGTTTACAATGACATAAAAGCATAGCAAACCAGCACAATAATCATCAGAATAAAAGTAGCAGCTGCAACTAATATACCATATTTTCCACGTATAAGACTATACTTTTGTCTAAAATATTTAGACTAAAATTAAGTGTTGTCTTAAACACGGAAGTAAGCTGAGGAGAGAAAAAACCAAGTGGAGGGGAAAGCAGGGATCAAAGCAATCCTGCAGTGCTTTGATCCCTTTCCCCCTACACTTGCTTAGATTTCTTAATTTTGGGTTAGAAAAGGGGGCAACTTATACATGGGGGTGTCTTATACACAGAAAAATATGGTAACTAATGTATTAATAACATATATAATTAATGAAACCTTAAGAACCTGGATTAGAAGAGGTATTTTGTCTGGTGCCTCAGTAACAATAGTGTGGGTTCTAGGCGGGCCTAGAAAGTTGCTTCCAGCCAGTGGCTAAAATCCTGTCACTTGGTGTAGACAATGACAACTAGAGTGGGCCCATCTGAATCCATTAGACTTATGGTGGATTGATTCACCAATTCACCACTGATTCAGCAGGCCTACTGCAGCCTAACTTACAATATTAAGCAGCAGGATGTCGGACAGTGAAGGCTAACACGCCTCCTGATATGGGAAGATGTCTCTCCACTACACATCCTCCTTCTCTGCTCTAACAAGAGATGAGATTCCTAACAGTTTCATCATCAGTCACTGAATGCTACTAGTAACATAAAAACTCCAACCAGGACACATGTACGTATCTCCTATAAAGCTGTGTGGAATCTGACTGTGTACACCAGATCAAAAGCAAAGCAAAAAACAACACGAAACCATAGACAAGAGACAGACACGTTGTGGCATCTCAAAGAGTAACCGCTATATTTTAATGTGAGCTTTTGTGGATCAAGTCCACTTCCTCAGACATTTCCATGGAATCACACTAGCTTTAAATTTCTTAAACTTTAAAACTAAAATGATCAATAATGACCTCAGAAGGATGGAGGTCAGATGGCAGATAATTAGATGACAAGAGGTCAACATGACATCTGCCTCTCCAATTTGCTGCCTTCCTACATGATTAAGCCCACTCCTCTGTGCTTCCAGAAGCTCTGAAAAATTTATGGTAATCAGAAGGAGTAACCATGCATTCCAATTGCCAGCCTGGATGATAGTTTCGAAAGAAGCTTCCAGTTTCTTTTTCATTCTTTAATGGCTGGTCCAGCAACAGATGTGATTTTAGTACTGTATTAGTCTGCAGTAGTTTGACTCGGATTCTTTTAGCTACTGTTTGTCATTTTGTTTGACATGAAAAAGAATTGTTTGAGAAAGTTAAATATACTTCACCTGGTGAAACAAAGCAGCACATCAGTACACATAATGCATGTTGACAATCCCAGTTTAAAGCAATGTTGCACAGAAGAGTCATACAGTACATGTGTGCACACACACAAAGATGAACACTAGTTTCCCCCCTACCTTCAACCATGCCAAAGGAGGCCAAGAAAACATCAACTAAAAGCCAGTGGTGCCTATCCTCTGTTTCCCAGTTGAGCTACGTACATCTGGCCCCCTACATTTGAGAGGACGCTGAAAATGATGCTCTTTCGAGATGCATTTGACAGCATCTTCCTAGGATTCTCCTTGCCACTGCCCTGCTACTGTGCCCCCTGTTTCTGTATTTGATAAGTTCTTTCTGTTTTTGTTTTACAGTTATTAAACCAAACAACAGTG